GAAGCCTGGACTGAGTGGAACATAAAAGGACTAAAGGGCTTTCTTCAGTCTCACAGAGAAAGTTTGTCAAAGTTCATTGTCTTGATTTAGAGAGGGGACAGCTTCAGTTTCTGTCTTTTTTATATTGTTTCTCCTTGGGTGGAGTAGTTTGTTCCCAAGAGTGGTAATGTAATTTAGCCGTGGTGTTTGCCTTTCAGGGACTAGCCCATAAAGCTCTAAAACTGTACTTGTTAACAGGCTACAAAATCATGTTCTAACTTAATATAATCTCTACCTGTGATACATTTCAAGAGCAGGAAAAAATCAATTGTGAAAGGTTAGTGCCAGGTAAAGTGTAAATACAACTTCTAGTTTCCCAAAAGGAAGAAAGGACTGCATTAATTCCCATAATAAATGTAAATACTCAAATGTAATAAATTGATATCTTTAGAACTGCTTTTATTGGGCTAAACAGAGAGATGGTGGTGAGTCAGTGCTACTTCTGTCTGATGCAGAGTCTGAAAATGCTGTGAAACACTGTCACACTGAAACCTGTAACAGGACATCTGGCCAGTTTCACTGTTTGCACAACGTACTTTTATTTGCCATTGTTTAAACTAAGTTTCTTTGGGGAACATGACTGAGAAAAAGCAGAACTAACCTGATGTCTCAAATATTTAATTTCTGAATTGACTCCTGAAAGGCAACTTAAACAGTGCCTTTATCCAGAGGGAATGTTTCTGACCGTGAATATCAGAAGGCCAGGGATGAGAATGATCTGTCAGGAGAAAGAGACCCACTTGTGAAGGTGCCAGTGTTGAGGGTGTTGCTCCTTGCCCAGTGCTGGAGTAGGAGTGCTGGGATGCTCCCACCTCCTTCCTGCTCCCTCCCAGTCCCTGCCTTGCAGCTGTTTCATTCATTCAGGTTTCCACTCAGTTGAGCTGTCCCTTGGTTACCACCCATAGCAACTTGCCAAGTGTCGATTAAACTCTTCCTTCCTCCCTTGGCTTGGCAGCAGAGCATCTGGCACTGCCTGCCATGGCAAACAGCGAGGCCCTGGAACCAGTTGCATCATTTGAAAGAAACATCTGTCTGTGAGACAGTGAGTGAGACACAGGGGTGACTGTGACAGCTCTGCTTCTCCCGAGGCAGAGGAAATATCTGTGTAAACACAACCTTTCTGGTCACACTGCCTGTTACATAGCCTGAGTGACAGCCAGCTCCTGGCTCTGCTCCAATGAGTTGTTCAACACATGGCTTTGTGCTTCAGAGTGTCCCAGCTGGGACCTGTTTTGGGCACTCCATGAAATTTTGTCACACTGGAGACAGATAATCGTGGGAATAGGAGGAGGTACCACTGTCCAGCTCAATGGTTTTGTCCTCTCTTTTTATTTCATGTGGTTGCCTCCTACCAAGATCCATCTTCCTGCTTTAGCTTTACTTTCTGCTCGCTTCCCTGTGGCAAACTTACCCAGGACAGACATGTGTGTTATCAAAGGTAATTTGGTAATAATTAGGTGCCCATGTGAACAGCCTTAGTGGGGCCAATTAAACTTGGGAGGGAGCTAATAAGTGATTCACTTTGGTTACTGTCATTCATATAAAATTGCCTCTAATGCTGATTAAAAAAACCCCAACAAGATAATTTCTACTCTCTGTACAGTAGAATGTGGCAGGCCTCCCAACCAAACGTCTACAGCAGACAAAGATCCTGATTTGGGTTTAAAAGCACTGAATTACTGAGTCAGGCTTTTCTGCTGGGCCTTGATTGACACCGTGCTGGGACCCTACAGGTGAACTCTTTCTGATTCTGGATGCAAAGTAAAGACACTCTTTAAAAACAGGGCAAAACACATAGCAGGGTTTAGTGGAAATTGTGGGTGAATGATGCTTTTATTTTGTACAAGATGAAGAACCAGGCTTTATTGGGTTTGCAGAATAATGTGACTGAGAATACACAGACTTTTGATGTGAGATAAATGTCAAAAGGATGACATGAAAGGACATTTGCTGCAGGAATGAAAGAACCTGAATTATGGCAAGACTGCTGCATATGCAGTTTTAGAAAAGCTCCAATTTTTGAAACTTCAGCATAACAGAGTCAGTAGATAGCCTCTAGTTGTAAAGTGCTACCTCCAGCCTTTCATGGTGATATTTCATGTCTGTAAACATACACATGATGCATTTCAATGACTGGAATCCAGTTCCTACTGGAATTGGAAGCAAACTTTTGCTGCAGTTTTTGCTGGTTGTGCTACTTTTTCACTGCCAAGAGGAGATGTCTTGTGATCAAAAGAAACCTCAAACAAAACCTTTTTTGCCATAACCTCTTAATTTTAAATCTAGCACTTGTCTACAGAACATCCTGAAAAGAAAACTATGGCTATTTAAAACCATGTAAGTTATGAAGCATGGAGAGAATCAAACTAGTATTTTCTGCCAAGGCACTACATTACTATTTTTTTCTAAGGTACAAAGAAATTTAGTTCAAATATGGAACTTCAGTTGGTCTCTGATTTAGGTACTTGATCAAGGAGAGAATTTCCATCACCTTCATTTGGTTCCAGCCCTGGATCTTGTGAAGACCATTCACTTGTCCTAATGTATTCACATTTATATTTTCATGTGAACTTGCTATAATTTTGGTTTAAGACACTTTTAGATGGAAAAAGGGCTGAGGTTGCCGTGCTTTTTGGTTTGCAACTGTATAAATTGAATGAGTATAATTTTGTGTCTTTTGAATTTGCTCTGACTTCACTTTCTCCCACACATTTTACCCATCAAATTCAAGTGAAGTGCATTGATGTTATGCCAAGAAATATTTGTACTTTTTAACTTTTCCTTGCTTTCCTTAGATCTTAACATATCTTTCCTTCATTTTTCTGTAAGGATTTAAGGATTTTACATACTGTTTTTAGTGCATTGAAGTGAATTAAATAGAGAAAAATGGTTCCTTGAGCTTGCTGAATCTACTGCTTGGTTCAGAAGAAAATAAGGGAACAATTCCCTGTCAAACTGTCTCTTAGTTATCTGGATTTTTTTTTTTCCCAAGTAATAAAATGTGTTTATCACTTGAAGAGCATGTTTATACTTGAGGTTTAAAATCTGCTTGGTATCCAAAATTCTTTCATTTGAGTACCATGGCTGCTGTCTAGCAAGCTGCCTGTCACTGCTGAATTCCACCCCCCACCTTGTTTGAGTTTTTCTGCTAATTAGGTGTAATTAGGTAGAGAGAAGTATTATCACTTGCTTACAATGCAGAGAAAACCTCAGAGCTGCACACAAATGTTGCTGTTATGAACCTGGAGCCAGCCAGATTCAGAATTGGAAGTTAAAGAGAGAGGGTTAGTACAGCTCTGCTGTTGCTTTCCAAGTGCTGTTTGCCAGGGAGAGTCATGAACTGCATTTCAGGGATGCACAGAGGAGACTGGGGGCCAGATTCTGATGTGTTATCCACGCTGAGAACCTGCTCCTTTCTGGAGGGGCTTCTGGAATAAAGGTTTGCTTACCAGTGTTTGAAACAGTAATTTTCAGATGTATGGTTTCAGATGGTATTGAGGTGTCTGTGCATCAACCTGCTTGTGTCCAGCCTCCCTGATCACAGAATCCCAGAATGGTTTGGGTTGGGAGGGACCTTAAAGTCAACCAGATCCACTCCTTGCCATGGGCAAGGACACCTTTCACTTTCCCAGGTTGCTCCAAGCCCCATCCAACCTGGTGATGGACACTGCCAGGGATGGGGCAGCCACAGCTTGGGTGTAAAGTCTTCAGTTTCTGGGATTCCCATATTAATTTGTTTTGGTTAGTGGTAAATAAAATTGTAAATAAAATTGTCCATTAAATTTCCTGAGCTGAGTTCAGAAATAAGATCATATGCTTGTTATATTCAAAGATATTACTGACATAATTGTACTTCATGCACTCCCCAAGACCATTTAAGCATTTGTTTTCATTTGCGTCATTCTTCATAAGTGGAGAGGCACAAACCAGCAAAAAAATTTTTTTGGTCATCAGCTCAGAAATTTGCCTTGGGTTTTTAATAATTTCTCATGTCTGACTCTCTAGGATATAGTCCTATATCCAAGAGAATCCTAAAGCAAGTTTTTTTTTTTAATATTTTTTTAACCTGCACCCTGTAGATGCAGAAGTTTCTATGAGAAGGGTGAGCCCAGCTTATGCCTTGCACATACATCAGGAAAGCCACAGTGCCATTAGAGACAGGATCTGTCAGAACTGCAAAGTGGGGCCATAAAAGACAATTCCTTGATATTCAGGGCAAAAAGAGAAGAAGAAGGGAGAAATCATCAATGGCAAAACTGAATTTCTTCCCTTACACCCATCAGAGATGTTTTTCTTTTTAAGTCTATTTAAATGAGAATTCAGATCTGTGTTCAACAACCAAGAAATAAATGAAAAAGAAAATTGTTATTTTAGAACTTGATGTATTTAGACATTTTAAACTCTATGCATATGCATAAACTTCACCAGTCTCTCTCTTTCAGTGTGGTTTTTTGTGCCTTACTGGTAACTCAATTCTGGTAGCTCTTGGTCCTGGTTCTCTCATGTACTTTGCATTTCAGCTCCTGTTTTTATTGCTCAGGTAAGGAGCAAGGCAGGAGCAATTAAAGGGAGATAATATCTTCAGTGTGTCCCTCCTGCCGCATTTCCCACACACCTGTACATCTCCCAGAGCTCTGGGGATGCTGTGCTTAATGTTCACTGCTGCCTTGGACTGCCACCATATGAAGAGCAGCAGCTCTCCCAACAGCCTCCTGAGATTGCCACCATCACAGCGTTCCTGGGAAATGGGCAGCTGGGGCACTGGCAGGGCTCTTACAAAGAGATTAAGATTTCATTTCTCACTGGTGTTTCAGATATGTATTGCAGAATGAAAGTAATAGAATTTCTCCACTCTGTGAAAGGAAAATATCTTTGCCTCATGTTTGTCAGTGATGTAACAAGTTTTCTGTCTTAGCAAGTGATGACAACATATTAATTGTGCCTATTTTACAATCCTTTAGGTGGCTATAATAGCGGGAAATTTTGAGCTTGCTGAATACATCAAGAATCACAGGGAAGCTGATATTGGTAAGCAAAATATTTACAGACTCTGAAAATAAGTTTTGCTTGTTTATGCCAGGATTTTGCAAAGATGTTAAAACTGATTCTATGTGAGATACAACCACAGGGCTGGTGACATTTCAGGGAGATTTGAAAAGTAACTCTTTAAAAAAAAATGCAGATGGGGAAAATCTGAACTGTTTTCAAAAATATACTCTGAAAAAGAAAATGTGTTAAGTGGTATGTGCTTTCTAAGTATAAATATACTTAGTATAAGTTTGTAATTGACTAAATACACATCACTTACCTGGAAGAGCCAGATTGGATTTGCAGGTTATTTTTGCCTTGCCTAAAGTTGCTCTCAAATGGGAATAATTGATCAGAAGATGATAATGGAGAAAGATGCTTCTCTGCAATTAAATGAATATATGGCAGAAGCCAACTCCCCATATCCATGAAAGCATTCCCTCTCACTGAGTTTGGTGGGATAGTGACAGGCCTTAAGGGCCCCTGACAAAAAAACTGGAGGCTCTTTTAAGATCTTTTTACATAGAGAGGTTTGTCATTAAAATAAAAGCCAGTTTGATACAAGCGATGCCTAATACAGTTTAATAAAATGGGTTAAAATGCTTTAATTCAAGTTAATTAAAGTTCTACAGAAACATCCTGAAGTTGAACAAAAATAAGGCATTTCTTTTGCAGCAGGAGGCTCTGTGTAGATGCCTACACTGATTTAACTCAGCAAGGCAAATCTCTGACTTGAGTATTTAATTTATATGGGCAATTAGGCCAGCTCACATGAAATATAAAACTATGGATGTGGATTAAGGACTACTTTCCCTTTCCCTTCCTGGTTGCATATGATCTGCAGGGATATGATTGAAAGTTCTGGGGTAATGTTACTTCTTGTAGCATTTTCAGCTCTTGCAGTGTGCACTGAGGAAACTGAGGACAAAGTGCACCAAGGTCGTAACTTCTGCATAAAAGTTCAGAGATAGTCTGGAAGGTTTTTTTTCCTGGGATAATAGGATAGTTCCTTTCTTTTTCCTTCTGTATTTATTAATAATCTTCAAAACATGAATTAAAAATGAACATGTTATTAGGTTGAGCATCTTATTGTTGTTTATATTTACATATGGGTAATGTTGGGGTTTTTTTGCTGACTTATAGGATTTGGTGGCTTTTAGAAAAATTCTTAGAAAATACTTTCTATGGGAAGATTCTCTAAATTTTTCTGATGCCTTCCTTTTTGCCACTGAAAAATAGAAATATTGGTACTTCCATTATTCACTTGCAATTTTTGCAAGATGGTGGATTGAGCATGACTATTTAAATTAAGAGATTTGTTTTAAAGAGTAAACATTACATTATTTCCCCCCACCTAATTTAATTGAGCTGGGCATTTGTCCTTTAAGTTTTATTTCTTATGAAAAATGAAGTTGTTGAAATGTCCATTTTTGGAGTGTCTCCCAGTGGAAAAAGAAAAAAGAAGAGTAAATCAAAGAACCAAATCCTGTGCAGAAAACTCAAGAGCTGCTGTGATGATGAGTGTGCAGAGTGATGTCAGCATTTCAGCTTCAGCAAGTTGGCTTTTGCTTCTCATGCTTGTCTGGTTATCCGCTGTGTTCCTGTAGTTTTGGGTGTGTTCCAACATTTATCATTTGAGTAATGCACCTCCTTAGAGGCAGCAGAGGGGGAAGGAATAGTGAACAGCTTAGGAAGTATCCTTAGGAAGATGAGGACAATTCATACTATCAAGTCTCTTGAAAAACGTTTAAGCACTCATTTCTCAGAAAGTGTGTTTTTGGTTAGATTTTGAATTTTGATACCAAACCAGTTCATTAAATCTTGTTATTATTTTAAGTTCATTTAATAATCCAAATCACTTTGCACTCTGTAATTCTTTCAGATTCTACTTTAGAAGTATAAAATTCTGATTTACAACAGAGTCACTAAAGCTTTGTCCTACAGATCAAATCCCACTGAGGTTGTTCTTCCTTCTTTTAATTTAGTTGTAAAGCACTTACATCAGACAGATGTGAAAATTAGGCATATATAAAATAAAGCTTCTTTGCAATAATTATAAGACTTCCAGCTGTTCTGGAAAAAGAAGAAAAATATAAAAAAATGTTTATTTTGGAGCCAAAAAAGGTGACAATAATGTCCCATGGAGTAATGTGAACAAACCTATAAGGAAAAAGCCCTGTGAGGGATTCCTGTGGCTTTAGTCCAATAAAACCCACCTGGCTGATTCTACCAGGAAAGTTTGTGCTCCAGACTGGCATGAGGCAGTTCTGTAAGACTGAATCAAACAGAAAAGGTAAAGGAATCTGAGTACAGAGAAAAAAAGATACCCACAAAGGATTGAAAACAAGATACAGATTTCATCATATTTGTATCTTTTATGAGGGAATCCCTTTTGTTTTCTTGGCAGACGTTTGAAAGGTGAATGGAAATTGCCATATCATTTAAAAAGTAATCCTATTTGAAACAAATTACAATAGTATTTTTCATAAAGAAAGAAACCCTATTATCATAAGGTACTTAGAACTTGTTTTACAAGCAGTATGAAATGCTTGGTGTGGCTTCCCAGATTATTTCAATTCATCAGGCCCCCAGATTTGTTTTTTGAGGAATAATAAGAGCACCAGAGTAGCTTATTTTAATTATTGGTTATTTTGGAAGTCTTTGGGACCCAGAAGTGTATCCCTGCTCAGTGACTATTGTTGCATCTTCTTTTCTGCTTTCTTACACATACCCCTGACATATAGCAGTTGCACACCATTAAAAATAATTAGTAATAATAATAATAATAGTAATAGTGTCCCTTTTAAACTTTTTTTTTTTACTAGCCATAGAACATTTATAATTTATTTAACTTTATGCATTTATTTGTTGCAAACTAAGAGAAAGTAATGGATTAAAAGATGTGATGAATAGAAAAGTTAATCCCTGATTGTTTTCATCCAGCCTGCAGCTGTCTGTGAGTAAACGAGCACAGCAGATTTAGGAAGCATTTGCTGTACAGAATTTACTATGGCTTCTATAGGATGGAGGTACAAAACCCAATCATATATGTAAGAATTTTGAAGCTTTCATTAGATACAGATATGCAGATATTAAGTATGTTGCAAGCTGATAATCCTTTGGCTTGGATAACCTATTTTTAAATCTCTCTTTTGCCTTGGTTCTTTGTGATGGGATGAATTTTCAGACGGACTAAATGACATGGGTTGTTCTTCTTCAAGTGAACAAGGTTTGTTTTCTATTGTGCATCTTGTCCTTCAGCTAGAAGTCCTGGAGCTAGGACTGATAGGATTCTTTTGTCTGGTTTTTTGTTTGCTTTAGGAAAATGAAGCACATTGAGCTGGTGTGCGAGTTTTTGGTAGTTGATTAGCAGACTAACTAATACTTGGATACTGTTGCTAGGCTTCAAGTCAGAGTTCCTGTATTCCTCTGTAATTATGCAGAGAGATGTGTATGTGTGATGGTTTGTCTGTGCTTTCACATGGGTGTTTTTATTTTGATAATTTTGAAAATCTGCTAATACAGTCTGTAGATGTATTCCAAAAAGAGGAATTGCTTTTAAATTAAATGTTTTTCGGGTATGAGTAAAAATGTGGTTTCTCTGAACTGGCATTGTGACTGTAAACATAAGGAATATGTACGTTACTGTGGAATAAGCAGAACAGGTATTTCAGAACACAAGGATATTAGCTGGTTTGTGACAGAATTGCGTTTCTAACTAATTTTCTTTAATTAGATGAGAGTGATTTAGGTCAGCAATCTTGGTTTTTCAGCTGCAAGTGTTGCTATTAAATGCTGGCCAGCCCAAGGAATATTCTGTTTGTTTACTTATTAATTTGGGTTTGGGGAATGGTTCAGTAATTTTGATTTTCATTAATCAAATGCCTGCAGAATACTCCTCAAGCTGGGAGAAATCAGACTGAGACAGGTAACAGCAGAAAGAGGAAAAGGCAGCAAAGCAAAAGGAAAACCTACAAAACTGTCGGCAGCGTGCAGTGACTTGTTCTATTTTTATCACTTGTTATTTAATAGAAGCAAAAGGGACAGAAACATCTATTGTAGCCTTGTGCAGTTGTCATTTGGGAGTAACGTTACCTTTTTCAAATGTTTGTGAGCATTTAACATGGAAAAAGAATGATATCTGTGTAATCTGGACGACAAAACCACTGAGATGTGGATTTCCCACATTTTAAATGCACATTGCGTGGTAGGGTATCATAATCCTGTGTTCCTTTTGCAATTTCTTTCAAATACCTGTGCTAAGCTGATAATTATTTCCTGTGTCCATAGAAAAAGACCCCTTTGCATTAATGACATTTTGGCTGGGTTACAAGCAAACAAATACAGGTTGGTATTTGTATTGGTGGGAAGTAAATCTGTTGCTATTATTTCTCTGCTTTCCTCAGAATGGTTGCAAGAAACAGAATTTCCTGTTCTCAGTCTTGCTATGTGCCAGCAAACAAATTGGAAAACTGGGAATTGTGTGTTAATGTAATTACACACTGAAATGTAGGGCAGAGCTTGAAAAACTTGCCGTGGTTTTCATTTTCCCTTTGATCACAAGTTAGTTATTTCTGTGCACATTGGTGCAAAATCGTACAGTAATTTGCAGTTATTTCAAAGTTTAAACTCCATTTTCAGAAGTTGGTTGCTTTTGGCTTTTGAATCTGGGTGTATTCTGTGTATATAACAAGGACTGCAGGCTGAGGCATGCAAATTCTGTGGTGTGTGGCCATTTCTGAGGCTTACTTGAAATTCTGGGCAGGAAGGCGAGGAGAGAGCTGGTGCCATGTGTAAGTGCTGCTGTAAGTACAGCTGATTGCAGAATGCTCTGGCCTGGTTTTGGAAACCAGCCTGCAGCATGTCCTTGTCACCTGCCAGGTAGGCAACGACTGCCACAGCTACTCCTCCTAGGGTTTATTTTACAGGCTGAACCAGAAGAGCCTTGCACTGGAGCCAAAAATAACCCACTGGAGGGATCTCGGGCTGCTTCCAGTGCC